CACAAGTTGAAAGGAAGGTCTGGTTCAGTGATCTTTTGCTACATTTCATCAAGCTTTTAATTTTACTTGCAATACCCACATGCAATTCATACAGGCATTTTCTTTCCACTTGGGTATAGAGACCCTGTTTTGTTGTTAATTGAAAATGTGTGAGCTGTGGAGGCAGCTTCAATGGTTTTACTATTCCAGAAACATTCATCTCATTCAAAAAGACAATCTGTTCAAGAGCAGTCAACCCTGGGCTTTTGTTCTGTTTACTGGCTTTGTTCTGGGCAATATGCTGACTTGCCTACAAGCTCTTGAGCTACAGGACATTCAAATAGTTTCCTCTGATGTGTTAAATTCTTGAGTTCACATGAGTCTGTTCACTAAAATTTTGAGAGTGTTAAGCCAGTTCTCAACACCAGAGTCTTGGTACTTGAGTTGACACTCATGCTGCTGAGCAGCCACAGCTTGAGTCCAAAGCAGTGATACTCTTTGAGCTTCAAAATCAGCTGTGTAAGCCAAATCAGTAGGGTTTATTGTGGTTTCATTGTGAGGTGTTTTTTTGTGGTTTTTTTTTGTTTGTTTTTGGGGGTTTTGTTTGGTTTTTTGTTTGTTTTTTTTCCTAATAAGGAAGTAAAGTGCTTGTTTATAGCATTTTTCCTTCTATATTCCCCCATTTGGGGGGTGGGTGGATGCTCCCTGGACTACAGGCAGATAAGGAGGGGATGTTGTGGCTATTCAGGCAGAGATACTCATCAGACTTAAAGCTGCAAGGGAATTTCTTCTAGTCAGAGGCTTACCCAACATTTCTGGGAATGAATGAAGCTCTTGTATTTTGTTTAGATAATTTGCCTCCTTTTTAAGGTTACTTACTCCTAGCTTAGACACAGAAACTTGGATGATTCAAAACAGGGAAGTGAAAACTGGTTGGGTCTTTCAAAAAAGATATGAGAGAAGTTCCCAGATCCTTTTGACTATCCAAGAGAAGTAGTATTGCCCTGAGAATCAGGCCTTTCGATACTGTTTTCATAATTTCTAGCCACTTTCCCAGGAAAGTAACTATAAACATAGGTGTTTATACATTCCATTAAAGATACGTCTTTTGATGGACATGTCTCATGGCCAGTGTGGTTGGGAAGGTGGTAACCTGACTATCCAATCCGTGGTAGTTGTCGAAAACCTATAAATACTGAAAGAACAAATAAACTTCTCTTCTTTTTTCATATCACTTTGAGCCGCATCTGTGTGAATCATGTCGTGTCTGACAGTGACAAAGTAGTTTCTTTTAAAAATCCTAGCCTTAAAAACAGATAAAAATAAATTTATTAAACAATAACAACAAAAACAACCCAAAACCAAACCAGACCAAAAAATCCAGACAACCCAAAAATTAATCACTTCCAAAGACAGACCAAAATTGATGTTGCCAGTCTTTGCAGATAAAACCTGTAATGTGATGTAATTCATGATCTCATGGTGTGACTGCACTGCCATTGGATACAGCAGCTTGCATTTCAATGCCATTATGCTGTGCTGTTTAAATATATAAAGCAAAATATGTATAACATAAAAACTCTCCCAGGGTTTAGATGACAAGGAATTCTTAGATGCAAAATGAATCCATGAGAGAAGCAGTAATTCTAGGTCTTCAAATGCGTTATCAGGAATTCACATTAAGGTTTGAAAGGTTTGATGTAGAATGTGTCCATTTCACTGATTTGACAAAATTTGACAAAAAATCCTGATTTGTCAGGATCATAGACTGAGCATATTCAGAAGAAATCATCTTCAGTAGGCAGGACTACACACTGAGAAATCAATAAGATTCCTTTAAGTGTCCAGAGAAACTGTGGAATATTCAATCCTCCATCTTCAAAGGAGCAGATTCTATAATTGCTAAGGGAGCAATGAAAGGAATCCTTTTACTTTGGTCAGATTAACTTTGTGACTGTGTATCCTGCACCCTAGCCAGTTTTCCAGGAGGAAAACAGAACAACAAAAACTGGCAAGTTGGATGCAGAAGGGATTGGTGGCCTGAACCTCATAAAACATATAAGTGAAGAACAGAACATAAAGCTTTTAAATATGACTATATTTTATTACAGACCTAAAATTAGCCTGGTTGTCAGGTCTGGATCTTTTTCAGGATGTCTATGCTGGAGCCCAACCTTCTCTTAGACATCAGGGCTGAGTTCTCGGCATAGAACGATAGAAGTGGTGTTGGAGCATTTGACATATTTCTTCTCCAAGGACTACTAGTCCTCTCAGATGGTAAATTTACATTCTTTATCAAATTGCAGGGTATTGAAATGTTCTATATAGCTCTGTTTAAGCTGACATTGTGCATGGTTATGACAGAACATTAGAAGGTTTGTCTTGGTGAGATGGATGAAGAGAGATGTGTGCTTTCCCATCTGGAATTGGTAGATAAAGAGACTGAGGTGGAAGCAGTTACTTAAAAAAAACCAGCTACCATAAAATTTACCCCTTTGTAGTTACCACAAAACAGCCTGCAGAACTAGTACATGTGAAAGCAAATATGCTGAAAAATCCCAACAGCCAGAACTCAACATGTGAGCTTTATGTGTACCGCGGGAACTTGAATTACCTTTTATACTGCAATGCTGAGGAAGAATAGTACTTGATAATAAGTAGAGCACAATTTTTGACTTAAGTTTTTAGCTCTGCCACTTAGACACTGTGTAACCTTGGGTAAGTCATTGAAGATTACATATGCAGAAAGATCCAGCAATGCTGTCTTCATCCTGGAGACTCTTATAATACAATCTAAGAAATGCCTCATTTTTCTGTCTGAAAGAGTCTCAGATCTAAAAACCTGAGGTTTGCACATTAAAAACTTCCTCAAAAGACTAGGTGTTAAATAGGCAGGTCCCAGATCCCCTTGTCATGAGTGATTGAGCATGACTGAGCCTTCCCTTCCCCAAGCACTGCTTGCAGCCTGGATGGGGCAGGGGCAATGGGGTTGGGGTTCCTCTGTCCTGCTGAGTCACTTTACGCAGCGTGTATTTCAAATATTTCAAGTGTAGGTTCATTGCTTCTCTGGATGCCCCATCCCTGGAAGTGTTCAAGGCTTGGTTGGATGGGGCTTTCAGCAACCTGGACTACTGGAAGGTGTTCCTGCCTGTGGCAGGGGGTTTGGAATTTTTAATCTCTAAGATCCCTTCCAAACCAAGCCACTCTCTACTTGCTGGGATCACTCTTGTCTTGCCACCCAGTCAGTGATTTAGGGGTTCAGTATTTGGGGAGTGGATGAGGTGGGAATAAGGAGCTGAAGGAAGTGGCCCTACTATGGAAATAAAGCAATTAACTGGAACTGTGATGACGATTTGATTTAAATGCATCTTTTCCTTCCATGTCTCATGTTGGTTTTGTGAATGTTAATCTGAGGCATCCTCCTATAATCCTATAACTATTCTATAATCATGGAATAGTTAAGGTTGGAAAAGACCTCCAAGATCATCAAATTAAACTGTTAGTCCAGCACTGCTATATTACAACTAAACCATGTCCCCAAGTACCATATCCATGTGTTTTGTGAACACATCCCTGAGCAGCCTGTTCATCTTTCCAGTGAAGGAATTTTTTCTAATATCCAACCTGAATCTCCGAGCACAACTTGAGGCCATTTCCTCCCCTCCTGTCACTTGCGGCTTGGGAGCAGAGCCCAGCTCCCACCTGACTACAGTCTCCTCCCAGGGAGTTGCAGAGAGCCAGGTCCTCCCTGAGCATTATTTTCTCCAGGCTGAGCCCCCCCAGCTGCTTCTCATCAGACCTGTGCTCCATTCCCAGCTTCATTCTCCTGTCTGGACTCACTCCAGCCCCTCAATGTCTTTCTTGTAGTGAGGGCTAAGTCAAAGCCTTTGCTTGCCTTTACAGACCAGCTGAAAACTGGGCACTGTATGTCCTGGTGATGAGCCCGCTCCACGCAGTCTGAAGGCATCGCTTGGTGCCTTGATTCGCGCACTGATAATCTTGCACTGTCTAGGAGGGTGCAGGTGTGCGCAGGAAGAGGAATATATGCACTGAAATGTGTCAGGATGAACAGGAATGAGGGATCCGAGGGTTGTAATGGATCCTGGCATCCAGCGAGCAGCGTGAGGAGGAACCCGCGACACTGAAAGCCTTCCCAAAGCCAAGTGTTGCTATAATAGGGCCGGATTACTCACTCTGCTTATTCAAATTCCTGTTTTTGCTGGCAGCGGGAGTTTTTCCCGAAGAGCCACGAACAATGAGTCACCTCCAGGTGTTTTGATTTGAAAATTTTTATTTTTTTCAAATTTCAAAAAAAACCGGCTCACGGCTCCCTCCGTGCCGCGCCCCCGGAGCATCCCTCCAGGCCCCTGTACCCGCCGCGGGAGCCGAGGCCGCTCCTCCCCCTGCGGAGAGAGGGAGCGATTTCTTGGTTATTTTTTTATTTTTTTTGTTCCTGCTCGGAGCGGGTAGGACCAATCCAGGGCCCGCCCTGCCCACTCGGAGCCCTCATTCCTGTTCATCCTGACACATTTCAGTGCATATATTC